CCCAGCTACTTGGGAGGCTGAGGCAAGAGACTCACTTGAGCCCAGGAGTTGGAGGTTGCTGTGAGCTGTGATGCTACGGCACTCTACCCAGGGGGACAGCTTGAGGCTCTGTCTCAAAAAAATAAAAAGACAAGATTTCCTTAACTCCCAAGTTCCTAACTGGGGGCCATGCCATTTTCCCCACTGTTACTACTGTTCTCTTTCATATCATCTCTTTGGCCAGCTTAAGTTCATTCTGTGAAGGTAAAATAGGAAATTCAGTAACTTTGATATTCCAAAAGAAAAAGCACGCAAAATTAGACTGCCTGGGGAAGCTACCATGAATTATTTATTAAGTGAAAGACAATAAGTAAAATTTCTATTAATTTTCTTTTAAACATTTTTTGTTATGAAAACTTTAGAACACACAAAAACAGAGAAAATGTGTGGTGACCTTGCATACCAATCACTTAACTTCAACAATTATCAATCACTTGGCAATCCTGATTCATCTCCCCTACTCTTAACTACGTTGAAGTTATTTTACAGCAAATTTCAAAGAACACAGCATTTCATTTCTAAATATAAAGCATTTCTAAGAAATGATTTGTGGCCAGGCACCAGTGTCTCAACTTTCCAGCACTATGGAAAGTTGAGATGGGAAGATCTCTTGAAACCAGGAGTTCAAGACCAGCCTAGTAAACATAGTTAAGATATACCTCTATAGAACAAGTTTTAAGAAATTAGCCGGGCATGGTGGTATGCACTTGAAGTCCTAGCTACTCAGGGGAATGAAGTGGAAGGATCACTTGATCCCAGGAGTTAAAGGTTGCAGTGACTATAATTATGTCACCGCACTCCAATTTGAGTCACAGAGAGACCCTGTCTCAAAAAAAAAAAAAAAAAAAATTATCCATTTATTCATTTTGTTGTTGTTAAGGTAAGTTTTACTAATGTGTTAAATATTTCAGCAAAGTTACTGCAATGGGTTTAAAAGGCAGGCAGACACACAATAAGAGTTTTACACAGTTAAATTATTAAACAAGTGGTATAAAGGACATTAGAGACTCAAAAGGAGGGAGGATGAGAGTGGGTGAGGGATGAAAAATTACCCGTGTGGTACAATGTACACTACTTGGATGAACAGTACACTCAAGCCCAGACTTCACCACTATACAATGTACACATGTAATGAAACTCATTACCTTCTAATCTATTGAAAATTTTAAAAAGGAAAAAGAAAAATCACACAGCCCTATGAGATTTATTAACTATCAGGTCCATAAAAGAAATTACATCCTAAAGATTACATCGGCTCGGCGCCTGTGGCTCAAGCAGCTAAGGCGCCAGCCACATACACCTAAGGTGGCAGG